TAATTGACTTGGATGTCTGGTTGTCCAGCAAGTGTCACAATGACAATCGGACAGAATTCAACACTAAATGTGAATGACTGCGGCTTTCAATACATATTTTAACAGTATTACCTTTCTGCCATCACTAGCATGACTGTTCACATTCAGAGGAGTGAGAAGAGCCATCAATTTGTCTTCATTTCCACTACGAGCAGCTTCCAATAACTCATCTTTCTTATATTCACCAGTAAGTACAGCTTTTGCTGAGGGTTCTGCTAAATCCAATGCTGTTTTGCCATCAGTGTTCCTTATGTTGGGATCAGCACCATGCTGAAGTAAAACTGCCAATAAAATAATAGTTAGAGCAATGTTCAAATCTAATTCTTCAGTTCTTTCTACATGTAGAAACCTTTTCTCGTCAATCACATCAGTGAAACTTCTATTTATCACATTGCCAGTGGAGGATTTCAGTCGAGGACGAGTTTATCCACTCGCTAGAAACTTAGTTAATCAACTTTACAAGTATATGGATATTCATGTTTAAGACAACATTTTCATACGTAGTTCCACTGTAGTGCCGGTAATTTCACAGGAGAAAAACAAGTATATCACAGGCAAATAAAAAATAATATGATAACATCATAGAATGTGAATCAATGGTTGTTTTTCTTTACTCCACCGATAAATGAAAAATATAGGAAAAAAGGTATATTTGCTGGATTTTAATATCACTGAATCAACCTTTCAGCGAAAATTAATTCCAAGCAAAAATGAAGTACTGTAAAATACTTTATTTCAGCTGGAATTAATTTTCCCTGAAAAAACATTTTTGGTGCTTTGTAAGGAATTTATTTTCACTGATTTTTGACAAGTTGAATGTAAAATATAGGAAAAAAGGTATGTTCACTCGATTTTATTTTCACTGAATCATTCCTTCAGCAAAAATTAATTCTAAGCGAAAATAAAGTATTCTACAGTATTTTACAGTAATAAAAGGCCACAAGACCTAAAAACAGTAAAACATATCTGTTTAGTGAGCATGTTACTGTACTTTAGCTAAACTATAACTACGCTAATACAAATAATGGCAATTTTGAAAAAATTAAACTAATTTCACAATAAGGTTTGGCTAAAATGAGATTCTGTTTAGGATTAATGCAATGAGTCACATTTGTTAAAATTGTATGTAGCAAGTTTAACATGTTTTACAGTATGAATAAACACCATATGTGCAAGGTCAAAGTTCAAATAAAAAAATCTATCAATTATACTTCACTTCAATGAACAACAATGTATGGAAATACATATTTAAGGCCATGGGATCCATCTGCTATTAATTTTAATAACTTTTTTGTATAAGATTGATGGATATGTAGAAATATACGGTCCTATAAATTCATAAGTCATTATATTGTTCAGTCGATCTTTTTTTTTCCCTAAGATAGATGCATTAAAAAAATACTTTTATGTTTTATAATAAAAGTTATAGTTTGTGCTGCTCTCTAGGTCTTGAATTGTCTCACATGCAGCACACAAATGAGACGAAAGAATTTGCTCTGTGAATAGTGTACATCTTAATAGTGATTGTACATTAATAGTGAGTACCTTTCATATATATTACTCACTATTTATGCATAGTCAAATAGTCACGGCGGTCGATATCCACACTGTATTATATAAATACGATTACCAGTATTCATGGAAAGTCAAACAATAATCAAAGACCAGGTTTTCTGAATAGAAAATAAAATTTGGGGCAGTTTGGTGGGGGTTGGGCACTTAGCTGAATGTGAATCCAAAATCGAAATGACCCAAAAGTGGGGAGTGGGTGCTTAGCCAAGCATAGGTACTAAGCCGGTCGAGTACAGTAGAAGAACATCTTCAAAAGAAGTGTACATACGCCAAATTGCATTTTTTACATGCTGGATCGTTAAAATATGACTCAGTTTTGCAACAGACACACCTCTATTATTTATATCATTTATGTCAGCATCCTTTATTCCATGTTTTTGTCATGGACTATGTTCTATTCAAAATGAATAATGTCAATAAAGTTAAAGTTATTACATCAAACCCAGCAAATACCCCATTCTAGCAGTGAAAGAACCCCCTGTCCAGTGTGAGTTCTGTGGGTGGCACTCTCAATAGCAATAAGCAGGCTTAACACTGTGACAATATACATGTGCTTGTTAAAAACACTGTGAAATCTCTCTTCTAATAAAAGTACGAATAAAACATTTGCAGATTAAGCAACTTTTGAACTGGTATTTTTTTTATGCTTATAGTATACACAGAGAAGATTAAAATATTACCAGGGATCTCTGCAGAAAATATAGTATAGAAAAAAAATTACCACAGTACTGTAAAACTATTTATTTTCACTGGCATTTTATTTCACTATTTCGATGCTTTGAACAATTTCAAAGTGTTTAAAGTTATGAACTTGACAGGAAAATAATGACTTCTATTGTTTTTTCACATATTCATGTTAATTTAATTTAGAAGATTTCATTTATCGCTGAAAATACTGAAATTAAAAACCAGCAAATAATTAATGTGTTTACATAACCATAACAGAGATTGAGATATTTTATTGTTATGTTTTATAAATTAGTTGATATGCTCTGAACATTTCCTTGCGAGGAGATTGGTAACAAGAACATTTAAGTTGTAAACACCGACTCACCAATACAGACATCAATTTTTCCCTTGATAGCTGCTTCATGCAATGGTGTATAGTTCCAGTTATCTCTGGCATTGGCATCACCACCATGACGTAATAAGAGTGTTACTACCTCTGCGTGTCCAAAGGAACATGCGTTATGTAACGGGATGAGGCCACCATCGTCCCGAGAATGCACATTGGCTCCATGCTGTAATAGGTGTTCTACGACATCTTTACGACCAAATCCTACAAGGTCGAAAAACATAGGTGTTACTTTGAAATTTGTTTTGTTTTTTAAATTGAAACCTGTTCTGCAATTGTCATTCAATTAACTTATGTGAACTGAACTTTCTTTTATTTTATTATTTAAATACTGACAAAAAAAGCTGTGACATACATGTTTTCAACTGACGTATACAGCCAACAGCAACATGAAAATTGAGACCAACATAAACTACTTAAATTTTACAAAGAAAAATTGCAAAATATTGTAGTAGCGAAGATTTCCCTGGGGAGTCACATAGTCAGTTACAGAGAACTCTGTCCTCGCAAACATTCTCAAATTATAAAAAATCAAACATGTCTATTTTAATGGTTTACAGACAGTACTCTGGGGGAAAATGAGCTATGGTTTAGAGTACTGTGAGACTGTCCCTTTATTGACATTTTGTTTTTGACTGAATTTGAAGACACAAAGGGGAGGGATGACAAGTAAATAGTCCTGAACCAAGAATGTTGTTATGGGTTCTTATTGACAAACTCAACTAGAAAATGGATATTTGCATTGATTTCAATTAATTACGCTGCAATCACAAAAATAAATGCTAACATTTTACAACATAAAGTATAATGGTTTGATATCAAAAATGCAATAGCATTAATCTGGCAAAATAGTTTGTCATGCATGTTGTAGATAGCGAAATCTGTCACAAGTACCGGTAATCAGTATACAAACAAACAAAAAGTGGCTGTTATAAATCAACAATTACGAATATTATGATAAACATCTTCCCAGTTTTTGAAATTCATTATAAATAAGACAGCATATTTAAAATAACAGGAAAACAACAGTCAAAGAATATACAACTCAAAATAATATACGACAAGATCACCACAGACCCAGCTGTTTCCGAGACAGTTTATTTTTTTTTTAATATGCTAATTTGAAGCAAGTATTATTAAAATTGTATCATTGTTACACCAGGAATTGGTAAGAGGAAAAAAAAATATTTTAAATACTAAGAAAAAAAGACGAAGACAAATACATATTTACTATAATATATCTCAATATACTGATTCGTCTTCTATTGTGAACTAAAAAATGTCTCTCCGTGCAATCAATCACGAAATGATCAAGGAAGGAAAAAAAACAGACCTGCAGCAAAATGCAGTGGTGTACTCTTTCTGCCCGCCGTATCTCTCGCATTCACATTGTGAGTAGTTACCAGTTTCTTCACTCTTACAAGATCTCCGTTCCTACATGCTTCAAAAAGATCCCGGTTCGGGTCCAAATTGTTTTCACAATTTGGTTGCAAGACAGCCCGACGGGTAGCCATCTTGGATCGTCACTGATCAATATTGATCTCGCGAAATCTCGAGAAATCTCATGGAGGCTCTGACGGGGGTTCGTGGCTATGGATTTACTACAAAATAACTTCCAACACAGGCGATCCCCATCCACGATAATCAGTAAAACAGCATTGAATAATTTTTAAAACTACGATTTTAAATTTTATTTTTGTGAAGTCGTCAAAATATCACTAGAAAAGTGTTTGTCAAGATACAACACATTATTTCCCAAGATGCTTCACGGTTTTCGCGGGAAATATGCATGATTGATTTCAGTTCCAATGTAAACATCACGATTACATCTAAAATACATCAATATGGCCGACGAAAACGACGTCGAAGACTATGGCAGTGATGATGAAGTTGAAATGACTGCTGCCGATGTCCTTCAAAAATTGGAAGAGGTAGGAATGTCGTATTGAAATCACTCGTCTGTGGTCCCCATTTGCGTTGTAACTTGTTTCCTTAAACGAGACGTGGCGTAGGGTACTTCATAATTAATCATTAATCAATTCGGCCCGGCGTTTAAATTGATAATGGTGAGAAAAAAGACAGTAACATGTCCGGTTGTATGTGTAGGCGTAAACAAATACATTAATGAAGCCTCGGTCAAAATAGATCCCTTGAGCTTTGACATTAAAAAATAAATAAATGTACGGGAACCTGGTTGTCAAAGCTTCAACAAAATCTTAAAATCTTCAATTTACATAAATGTACATGTATGTATGGGGGTCTAAAAACTAACTCTGCGACACGATTGTGTGACTCGCCGGATGTCGATTATTGCACTCTGCAACAGGATCGCAGTGTCACTCTGCGAAGAGCACGATTCCTATTGGTTGGTGGGTCGAACAGCGTGAATCCAATGGTCGATGTTCACTGCATGACTTATAAAAAATTAAGTTTTAAATGGTAAAAATGGTACGGTAAAAACACTATGTACCGGCGACATGCCGCACTGTTCGGTGATCGGCAAGTACATGAAAGACAAATTGTGGGACCAAACAAATGACACATGGTTTACAGTGATTCGCCGCATCACACCGCTGGCTAGAAAAATTAAATAGTGTAACGTGCACGTTGGTTTTGACTGCCTAGTTACGGTGTAACGTTATCGCCATCTTGGAGTTGTAAGGCTTCGTCCTGACGACTATGCTCATTAGCATAGTCGGCAGCTTCAAAGCGAGTGGAATGCGAAGTACTTTTCATGCGTTCTACAACGATTGTTGTACGTCTGCTTTGACTTTGTTGAGTGCATCAGGGAAAATAATTTGCGTGCAGTGAAAAAAAATCATTCATGATGTGCAACGTTTTGCCATGACAGCAGTTGTTTGCAATCGTCTGCCTTCGTTAGATCATAAAC